CTCCTCCTTTTCTTCTTTCTTTTTTCCAAAGGCTACATAGTATTGAGATAGTAAGTTTAACAGTATGCTCATTGTTATTAAATATTGTTCCTGTGGGTTTGCTGACATGTACTTAGGTGTCTGTGAGGTGAGAGCATAGTGTAGAATTCTGCACTGTTGTCCCAAAGGGCAGACATTGCACACAGATTCAAGTGTGTGGTAAAGGTGAGAAATCACAGAGAACGAAACTGCCACTTGAAAACTCATTCTGCTGTGATATAAGGCTAAAATGCTTGCAATTTGAAAATCAATTTAGATTTCCCCCTAAATGAAGTTGAATGTAAAATTACTGAAATGTCTATTTATTCTTTTACTTGCAAATTTTATCATTCCTTCGGAAGCTACTTGTGTTCAGTTTTGAACTGGAACTTACTTTGTTGTTTATCTTTCCTTCCACAGAAATGAGCCACAGGTCATCAGATTTCGCTAAGATTCTTAATAACACAGAGAATCTTGTTCGGGAATTGCTGTAAGTTTAAAATTTTAAGACCAAACTGTACTACTTTTTTTTTTCTTTTCTGATTTACTGTTCCATTTATTTATGCATTCATCGGTTGCTTCTTGTATGTGCCCTGACCGGGGATCGGGGATTGAACCTGTAACCTTGACATATCGGGGCAACACTCTAAAACAACTGAACTATCTGGTCAGGGCCTGCATTACTTTTGTTTGATTATATATACTCTGTTTTAGTATTTGCTATGCTCTGCTGTTTAAAACATTCTATAAGTAAAAATATTTTTTTTAAGATGCTCCCAAATTCACTAAATTAGTACATAATGCTTTTTGCTTGTTACCTATCCTTCACTTATTTGTTTTTATTTTATGTAGTATTTCTAAAGATTTGAAATCATCATATCTAAGAAAGATTTTTCAGCACTGTAGAAGTTTAGCATTATTAACTATAATGTAGTTCACTGGTTCTGGAAGTATGGGCCTCATACTGCCTGTCAGAATTACCTGGTGTGGGGAAGTATTAAAAATTCAAATACTGGGCCCCACCCAGACCTGCTGTCAGAATCGCTTTAGAAACTTCATTTTTAACAGGCTCTTGGGGTCATTTTAAGAGCCTGAACTTCAGGAACTGCCCTCCTAGGTTATCTGCACCTCTTCCTTCTCTGGAGGAAACCTTATTCCTAAACACATTGCTATTTAAAGGAGAGGTTTTACATATCATTATATGCACATAAATGAATATGGTAACCTTGGAAACACAGTTTTTTCCCTGCTCACAAGACCAGTGCAGAAAGTTTAGAAAAAACAAGCTCACAAATTAAACTGGAATTATCTGTAACCCCACTGTACTCATTTTAACCATCTTAATTTTCCATGCTGGAGTAAAAAATTTCACTCCTAATCTAGATGTTTATTAGGTGCCCCAATAGGTAATTAGGCCTGAATAGGTAATTAGGCCTGAATAGGTAATTAGATCCTTCTCCAGTGTCCATTTGGTTCATAACATGGACCAGCACATAAATACTTTTAGAACTTTTGGTTGCAAAGGACAGAAGTCCAACTCTGGCTTAACCAAAAAAAAAGAATGTGTTGGCATGTTCTCCCTCTC